GAACCATTAGAAATGAAGAACCAAAGACCCAGGGAAAACTATTATTTTTATGGACAGCCATGCAGATGTATGATTGGACAAAGGGTTATGATCTAATGGTAGTAAACTGGGAACTCAGCAAGGCCTGTTTATTCATGTCCTTCTTAGCCTCTGGGTATAGGGAAGGACCCCCTCTGGAATGAGGGTCTTATGATCTACTTGTAGAGGAGGTAGATCAGAGGATGGTTTTTTGTTTTTTTTTTCTTTTTTTTCTTTTTTTACTGACCGGTAATGGGATAGCAACCCTCGGTGTTGCGCCCGCACCGCACTCAGCCAGTGAGCGGGAACCGGTCTCCACATGGGATCCGAACCCTCGGCAGGAGCACCACCATGCTCCCAAGCGGCACACTCTGCAGCACGCCACCGGGCCGGCCCAGAGGATGGTTTTTTTTATGACAATGCTTCATGGGAGAAAGGGGGAAGAGGTCAGAATGTGACCTCTAAAGTGCCATATTTTAGAGTAGCGTGTTCTGAGCCTCAACAAAGTCAATCCATCTCCTAAGAGATTTTTGGAGGAATAAGGATTGGGATTTAAGAAGAGTCATGGGTCTTTAGGGTATCAGTTGTGGGAGTGGGGATAGTTACAGACTAGGGACAGGTAAAAGTTTCTTGGCAGCAGTGAGTATCCAGCCAAGGTTGAATGCTGTGAATGTGTGTCTTTATCAATATGCCTGGTGGTATTATTTTTCCACCAGTACGGAGTAGCCTAGGTATAGAAAGGGAGGAGAAAGAGGCTTGGAAAAAACAAACATGAATTTTGTAGTATGGCTGTAATAGAAGAACCTAAATAATGAAAATATTGAGGATCTGACAAGAGTGGTTAAAAGGATTTACCAGGAAGTTTCCATTTATAAGGAAGCAAAGCTATGACATAAGTGGAAGGTCAGAGGGAAGGGAGTGTTACGTGTCTCTGTGAGGTAAAAGAGCAGCTGTTCTGAAAGTAAGGAAGAGAGAGCTTCAAGGAAAAGAGAGAAAAATCTGCATATGGCATCTGTATATGTGTTCTAGATCAGGGATTAGCAAACTTTGGCTGTAATGGGCCAGATAGTAAATATTTTCAGCTTTGCAGGTCATGTGGTTTCTGTTACAGTTTCACAAATCTATCTTGGAATCATGAAGGCAGTCATTAGACAAAAAGTAAACAAATGGGCATGTCCCAAATGGTCATTTCCAATAAAACTTCATTTACAAAACCAAGTGGTGAGTCAGATTTTTCTCAAAGGCTGTAGTTTGCTGACCTCTGTCATAAATGATGACAACTTCCAGGATGTGGATGAATTTAAACAGAGGTAAAGATTTTTAGAAGCCAGGGGGCAAAGATGCTTTAAGATTAGTGTATTGGAAATGGACACCTATGGAACATTCCACCCAAAGGCAACAGAATACACATCCTTCTCAAGTGCAGAAGGAACGTTCTCCAGGTTAGGCCATAACACAAACCTCAATAAATTTCGAAGGGCCAAAAGTATACAAACTATATTCTTCAACCACAGTAGAGTGAATTTAGAAATTACTAACAAAGAAATTTGGGAAACTCACAAATATATGAAAATTTTCACACTTCTGAATAGCCAATGGGTCAAAGAAGAAACAAGAAAAATTAGAAAATACTTTGACATGTGTGAAAATGACGATGCAACATACCAAATATGGGTGCAGCTAAAACAGTCCTTTAAGGGAAAATTACAGCTTTAAACACCTACATTAAAAAAGAAGAAAAATCTCAAATCAATAACATAAACTTCCCCCTGAAGATACTGGCTGTATAAGAGAGAGAAGAGGCAAAAAATCAAAGGGGTCTGAGGTGAAGTAGAAAGAAAGTCCAGATAGAAAAGTTGGCCTTAAGTAAGAACAGCTTCCCTTTGTAACTGGAAGGTAAGAAAATAGGGTGATGGTTTTTATGTGTTTGCTGTTGAGGAGAAAATAAAGTCCCCCTCTGTTGCCCTCTACTTTCTCTGTAAAGCTAGAGTCATTTGCAGAGAATACAGGAAAACGGAGCATTGGAGGTTTGAAGAAAGTGCAGAAAAATAGGATAGTTTTCATGAAGAGTGGTTGAAATAGTTCTTGTGTACACTGAACTAAAGAAAACTACTAAAAATTTCAGGCTGCCTTTGGAAAACGTTCCTTCTTTTTTTTTTTTTTTTTCCTTTTTGTCTTTTTTTTACTGACCGGTAACAGGATCGCAACTTTCGGTGTTGCACCCGCACCGCGCTCAGCCAGTGAGCGGGAACTGGTCTCCACATGGGATCTGAACCCTCGGCAGGAGCGCTGCCGCGCTCCCAAGCAGTGCACTCTCCAGTGCGCCACCTGGCCGGCCCGGAAAACGTTCCTTCTGCACTTGAGAAGGATGTGTATTCTGTTGCCTTTGGGTGGAATGTTCCATAGATGTCTATTTAGTCAATACACTAATCTTAAAGCATCTTTGCCCCCTGGTTTCTAACAATCTTTACTTTGCTTAACTTCATCCACATCCTGAAAGTTGTCATCATTTATGACAGGGGTCAGCAAACTACAGCCTTTGAGAAAAATTTGACCCACCACTTGTTTTTGTAAAACTACCAAAAATGTTTAGTAGAAAACTACTAAAAATTTCCGGGTCCACTTGAGGCTGGTGGTCATGAGTTATAAAAGAACTACTTTTACTAATCTGTACTATAGTCTGATTCCTTCAGCTACATTTGCCTCTGTGTGGGTGAAGGCAGAGCAGAGACGAATGCATTTATTAGGGCTTGGATTTTTGCCAGATGGGTGGGATGGAATGATAGAGGAGCAGGGAAATTTAGGATATTGAAATGATGGGCCACGGTCAATAAGGTGGATAAGAGAAAAAAAAACAACTACTGAATAGAGAGCAAGTAGAGGGTTCAGTTAAGTAGTGGTCACCAAGAGGTCTAATGTCCAGATCAGCTCTGTGAGGGCAGGGAATCTCTGTTTTGCCCACTAACATGTCCCAGTGCCTGGAATGCCTGGCACAGGGTAAGTCATGGAGTGATCATGTAATAAGCAAGCTGGAAAAATGGGAAGTTGTCATCAGACTGGGATGCTTGAATGAGTGATAGAGGCGGCTATTCACTATGGATAATATCTCATATGTCTGACATGCACATGCAGTAAAGTCTCAGTAATTATTAATCTTTATCATTGTGCTTTTTGGACTTTTATGGGAACTATTTGTTTTCTTAGCAACAAAATAGAGATCCATTTCTCTGCAAATGGGTGAGTTGACCTTACCAAATGAATATCATATAAGGCCATTTGAACAGTTAGAGTTGTTAGATTAGACCAAAATAAACAATATACCAGTAGAAATTATCTTCCCTTCCAAATTATCCTAGTCTGGTTCCCAAAACCAGAAGCACAGGTTACTTCTAATGCCTTCATTTACTTATTGTGCTTTTCCCAGCTGTGAACTGTTTTATATCTACATTGCTGAATCACCTCTCCAAGGTATATTGAACTTTCAGTAGGTTTTGAAAGTCTTCTCCTTTGCTTGTTGTCTAGGGCTGAAATCTCATTCAAAAATAAGGATGACTATTTACCAAAGGAAAAGTTTACAGGAGGCTGAAATGATAATAAGTCTAATTTTTAAACAATGCCAGTGTTTTAACATTTAGTTAAACGAATCGAAGAGGTTATTTTGATTTTGAGGATTTGGAAATATTGTCATTTGTATCTTTTTCGGATGATTTGTGTGTCTTTCAGATGTCCTTTTGGTTGGCCCGTTTCTCCTCCCATACCCCTTAATATAATTACTTGTACACAGTAGACATTTAATAAATCTGTGCTGACTGATCTTTAATAATAAAACAAGCAGTTCTCTGAAATGCCCTTCCTTCCACCTCTTTGCCTGGTAATTTTTTTTTTCTTTTTTTTTTTATGATTTAGTTCAAATGTTATCACTGAAATTATTCCCAGCTCTTACTGGCAAAGTGAATAGACCTCTGACCTTTTGGTACTTCATACCTACTTTCTATTATATTGCCATTATTATGCCTCTGTTTCTCTTTCTTGCCTTTTATTTACTAAGGAGCAGGGACTTTGGCTTATTCATCTTTCATGTCTCCAACGCCTTGTATGTGCCTATTATATATGAAGTGCTCCAGAATTGTCTGGCAAATGGCTCTGTGACAGTGAGAAAACTCATTCTATAAGCCTATAAGCATGCTGTAGGCTTAGGTTAGCAAATCCTGTCCTCTAAAGGTTTTTGCCTCTTTAAAAGTTTCCTGCAGTTAAGATATTGCTGTCAAGTGAGCAGTGATTGATTGATTATGGCTCTGTGATCCAACTATAGATGTGATTAACTTAGAGAAAGGTTAGCATTTGGTCATATCCCCGCTCCTTTAAAATTAAGAATAATACCGAGTTGGTACTCACTATGTATTTGTTAAAAGTACGGATGTCCACCAAAATGTAAACAATGGCCATATTTGGGTGGTGATATTTTTAACTTTTTTCTTTAGACATAATTATTTTCATTGTTTGAATTTTCTATTTTAGGATATATAATGGGAATAAAAAACTATTTCCAGTTTTTAAAATAGATGGTACATGAAGGACACAATTGAAGGAAACAAATGCTCTGATACAATTTGGAAGCAGCCAGGGATGGATCAAGATGGGCCAGTCTGTAGTGTGGTAACAAATCTCAGTGGGCTAGGGAAGTAAAAGTTTATTTGCTCCAGGTCAACTGGGGCTCCTCTGCATCCAGTCCCTCAGATCCAAGCCTCCTCCTCCTTAAAGTGGCTTCCAAAGTTGCTGTAGCTAGGAAAGGGAGAGATGAAAGAGACCAGCCAGTTCTCACCTAGCTCAGTTGAAGTCACTTGCCTTGGCCAAAACTAGTCCCAAGGCCCTGAACTTACTGCAAGATAGAGTGAAAAAATGCAGAGATGCACATGGAATCCAGTATTTGGTTAGCACCAGTTGTCTCTGCCATCATAACTGTAACTCTTTTCATTTTTCAGTTACTGTAATGAATGTATGTTGGATCCAGACTGCGGTTTCTGCTACAAGATGAATAAAACAGCTGTCATTGACTCCTCCTGTATTCCAGTTAATAAAGCATCTACAAATGAGGCAGCCTGGGGCAGGTATGTTGTCATTCATTACTTCCCAGAGGAATACACAATAAAATTTCAAAATGAGGCTTATGTTTATGTTTTCAGAGTACCTGCACTTCCAGTGGTTCTTTTAAACTGGTCTTTGTAGCTACATTACTTTGCAGCATACACTGATGATAGTAGATGCAAAGCATTGTTAACTGTATTTCACAAACTCAGAGTAGAAAGTACTCAGGCCTAGACTTCTGAAATCCAGATTCCAGACCCAACTCTGCCTAATAAGCTACAGAAGTTTGGATTTTAGTTTTAGGCAGTTGTTCCCAAATATTGCCAAGACAATTTCTCCCACTGCACATTGTTTAACTAAACTGTAATTTCCAAATTCCCAAACTGAAGTGACAGACAGAAAATTAAGTCACAATGAATTAATATCATTTTGTATTTTTTCATGGAACTATTTTTTCCCTACTTTGCCAAGGTTCAGTGAAATTATGCAAAATAAGAATAAAAGTTGGGAATCATTGGCATTTAACCAATCTGGGAGGCTATCAACCTTTCTCTTTTTGGCAGAACACATTGCTTTGTAGTGGACACATAAATGAAATATTTGCATAGAATAAATATTCCCCACATTTATGAACTAATATTCATGTCCATGGACACAGGAAATGTATGAATGTTATTTGACATGGTTTTAACCTCTTGTGTTTTACATTCCTGTAAAAAGAATCATATGCTCTCATCATGTCTATCTCATACTGTTAAGGCAATGAAATCTGTAATAAAGTATTTGTATCTCCCAGGAGTTATAAAGTATAGTGTATTCGTCATTACGTTCTTTTTATTAGAGAATTACTCAAAAGATGTAGAAGTAAATTATATGGTAGTTGAGTAAAAATCCAGAGCACATTTTAAATGCACTAATACAAAAAAAAAAAGGTAAAAGAAATGCAGTTATTACTTAAAATGAACACTTATAAGATTCTCTATAAGTAAAAGTTTATTTGCTCCAGGTCAACTGGGGCTCCTCTACATCCAGTCTCTCAGATCCAAGCCTCCTCCACCTTCAAGTGGCTTCCAAAGTTGCCACTTTGGAAGTCCAACACCCAGTGTATAATTTTCATTATCCAAGCTTCATTAGTGAGTTAACTGATTAAATATTTCTGGATGTCCTAGTTTACAGGTTTAAATCTTTAGGATTTTATTCTTTCCAGTAGCGGGGGGGGGGGGGGGGGGGGG